TTGTTGATTGCGAATCCGGTGTCAGATTTTCAAAATTTAAAATGGCGGATCCAATATGGCTAACAAAAATTTTGTAAAATAGTGTTTTTTAAGATTTGGTATCTGGGGGCCGATTGTGTATCACATAACTTGGTGAAAATTACAAAAGTGAGCATATTTATAATCTCATTGGTCAACATCTAGTAAATTTGCTCACTTTTGTAATTTTTACCCAAGTATTGGATACACAATCAACCCCCTGATACTAAATTTTAAAAAAATTAATAACATCGGTGATTTTTGTCGACCGTGTCTGGCAATTAAAATTCTTATTGCGAAAAATATTACCCCAGCCAGGATTTGAACCCGGGACCTCCCTACAATCCATGACGGGCGTCTTAGCCAGCTCGACCACCGGGGCTGTGGTAATACTATTCGCAATAACGTGTATATAACATTAAGATGTTGTTTACGCGTCTATTTCGACTTTTTCAGAAACTGTGCGTCGATACGGATTGTCGACCGCACAATAACTTGTCGATACGCGATTTTTTAATTTCCTTTTCCCTTCCCTCCCCCTGATCCCATTCCCCCTAACGCGTTAGGGGGATTGTGATACACAATCGGCCCCCACATACCAAATCTTAAAAAACATTATTTTACAAAATTTTTGTTAGCCATATTGGATCCGCCATTGTAAATTTTGAAAATCTGACACCGGATTCGCAATCAGCGACCCCAAAAACACTTAGATACACATTTTTAGAAAGAAACGATAAGTTTTCAAAATGTTTGTCGGCCATATTGGATCCGCCATTTTGAATTTTGAAAATCTGACACAGGATAATTAGCGATCCTAAAAACCCTTGTAAACCAAGTTTTATGATAAACCTATGGCTAGAAAAATTCGTGACTAAAAGGGTTAACTCTACATAAAAATACCTACAATATTATGGTTCATAACTTTCCAACGGGCAAAAACGGGCAAATGAAGTTTGTTCCCTATTTAAAGGACACTTTAAAGAAAAGATTCATTATAGTTTCGTTCGGGCATAATCGGGCAAAGTTATTAAACCACGTATTGGAAACTTACTTTCTTCATGCAAAATTGAGCTAAAATACGTTAGTCAATTATTTAATTTCTAAATAATTGACATATGTATTTAAACAAATATTAAAACTTTTTTTCGATACAGTGTATAAAAAGCTGTATAAATAAATTTTTGGAAATTTTTTGCACGCAATTTAAGCTGTCTACGAAAAGTTTGAACCGACACAAAAGTATTACGAAACTAAACGAATGAGCTTTGACGACAATACTTAAATATAAATATCAACTTATATTCGATAATATTTAACATATTTTATTTGTTTTTCAATAATTGATTTCATCATTTGAACAAATGTCAAAAATCGATTTTTGTCCACCTTTCGCCCACTGTGCGCGCGCGCGAGATCGACCATGTGTAGTTTACGCGAGTACGCGAGTTGACAGACCCTCAGATTTTCAGATCTCAATAACGGCTGATCCGATGAACTTCTAAGTGGGCTCAATCTATAGCTTGGGTTCAATTTGCACAATAAGTGTTTTTATTTTTTTCCTACGTGCCCTCTGAGTGGAGATATTGCGACGTATATAGAATTTCCGATTTTTCATTTAAGAAACGTAGTCGTTTTGGTCGTGGTCGTTGCTTAGTCGACCAAGCAGTGGTGGGGGGAACGTCCTTTTCACATTTTAGACGCAACGTTACGCTCGTAAGCGTCACTGGCTCGGCGAAAGATCACGTGACACGTGACTGACGTTACCGACTTCACCGAGTGCGCGTAAACTAAACTTTTCGGGGATTGTAAGTTTAGATTGTATATTTCAGTACTTTAGCAACGCCAAGTTTTTTTAATAAACAATAATGTTGTGAATCAGGATCGATATGTATCCAACAATTAAATTAGAAATGGCCATCTTTTAATAAAATATTTATTTGTATTATATTGAGTACACTGCCCGTCAATAATTTGTTCCATTCCTCTAGCGAGTTTATACAGGATATGTTACATATCCTTTATAAATGAATGGAATTATGGAACGAATTAATGACAGGTAGTGTAGGTCTTTCTTATGTATAGTTTTGTATTATTTTTTGAGCTCCATTAATATTGTTGATAACAATAATTTCTTTTTGTTATTAGTTTTTCAAGGTCTAAAACTGATTATCTGTTTTTAGATAATTCCAAAGATCTTCTGAAGAAGTGTAATAATCAACTAGAATATACTCAGTCTTCCAGTTCTAGTAGCAGTAAAAAGGTAAGTTCCCCTAATTTATTTATTATGTAATATATAAACATTTTTATGACTAATAAAACATTTAAAATTTTAAGACCCAATCATCTCAACGACGAAGTGATTTTAATCGCACTGATGGAAGTGACATAATAATAAATGATGATTTGCCTATTGTATGTATTAGATAAACGTTCATTAATAATGAAATAAATATAAATATCATGAAACGTGAAGGATGTCGCTTGTGCGAGAAATTGAACTGAAATTTTTAACTTACAGATTAACGACATTCCTTTAGGAGCAACCGTATTAAACATTGAACCGACAAATTCTCCTCCTAAAATTCTCTCGACAACAATCAATTCTCTGAGTAGCTCTCCGAGGAGTCAACATGCTAATCATGTGAGTGATAACTCTATTTAAAAAAGAATGTTGTGCGAGAAGAAAATATTTATGTAATAATTTAAATCTTTTACAGGTATTACCTACGGCTGGCGACATGAATTTTGAGAAGAATTTAAATAACGTAAGCAAAACTTGTGAAATTTTACCGTATTTGGATAAGGTAAATAATAATTACTTAGAAATAAAATGTTCTACTAATCTCCTAAAATATTTTAAATACAATAATACAATACAACGACTTGTTTTTTGCGATCTGAATCGAACTTATCATGTTACAACTTATCAAACTTATCTAGTAGATTTCTTATGCTGAAACCAAATCCGTTCACAAAATTGCTGTAGCACAATTTTGAGAAAAATAGCGAAGAAACTTAACGGATGTTTTAGTAATATTTAGAGTACTAACTTTGAAATAAACATAATTAATAGGTCTTCTACTGTTTTTACAACATAAAATATCTACAAGAAATGATAGGTTTAATTCAAATCGTAAAAGTCCTGTTGAAGTATATAATTAATAATAGTTCTTTCTCTTTTTTTATTGTTCACAGAGTGTTGCTAGGGCTATAAATAAAAATGATATTTTGGATGGGCCCGCTTATAACATTCAACCTCCAAAAGGCAATAGAGAAATATTTTAATTCGCATACAAAGCTTTCTCTATGAGGAAGCCAGAAACGTATGC